TGTGTGGCCTGGTGACTGTGTTGATGACCGTCTGCGCAATGCGCATGTTCAGTTCACAAAGTTGTGCCGACAATACAAAATCAGAGTTTCAGCAGCTTTTAGATGTGGGCAGTGCATGCGAGTTTTCTGTAGTCGCATGGTATTGGCAACATAGACTACACACTAGCTAAGGAAACAGGGGGCAGGTATTCAGCTTGAACCTTTCCGGCATCGTGATGCATCATGCATGTACGTTATGCATGTACAATGTACATCTGATGATGATGGGCTGCGCGGTGTCTTTCTTCCTCGTGGTTCTGAGGAAACAATTAATTGGAAGCAAGAAATCTTTCCCATCTTTGGCGCAAAAGCATTTCAATGGGTCTGAACTGGCCTTAGCTGTTGTGTGCAGTGCGTGCGTTCAAATGTGCTGGTTTGGTTTGTAACCCAGCTTACCTCAGGAGTCAGTGATTCTTGCGAGATGGCTGATGGGAATTACAGTGGCGATAGCTGCAAGCAACCCAAATGATGAACACGCACAGTTGCTTATCTGCAGCCTTCAGTATGCATGTGTGCAGTGGCCTGAGCTTCATACTTGCGCGCGCCTGTGATATGTTTCTTCATGTAAGGCTCCGAGCAGCCGTTTTCATTAACGCTGTTGCTATCCGCGAATCTGTGTCCTTGTCGCATGGACCAATCCTACCTTCGCACGCCATCGAAAAGCTTAAGACTGCAAATTATCTGTTCCATAGCTCCATCAACTGCATCTTGGCTGGTGATTTGCTAGCGACAAACTCGAGTGTTTCTTGATTGTTCAGTTTCTCCAGCGATGCATATGTCTAGTGTGGGTGCGAAATAAATAGTGTGCCTGGCTCCGAGCGTTGAGGGCTTGCCCAAGAGGCAATTGAAGCTGGAGTCCTGCGTTGGAAAATCAGGCCAAAGCTGCACAAGTTTCTTGGATCACCCCCGTTTGGTTTCTATGCTTGAGAAGGCTTGCGTGTAGAACCTGTTGTCAAGGCTGGACCACATATGCTTAGATTGTGCCCCAGTTCTTTCACCGCTTTGGACAAGTACATACGGGGACGAAGACATGGCCAGCGGGTTGCGTTTAGCTAGTATGTTATAAGTGTTGCGCAGTGCTGTTTGCAACCAACGTAGGGCGGAACATTCCGTGGATCCTACATCTAAGGTCGGTAAGGTGAAGTCCTTTGCAATGATGGCACGGCCCCATTTGCTAGGAAGGCAAGTGCTATTGCGCTATGCCTCTTACGCATGTTGCAGATGGCTCCGTCAGTTGGAAGTGCGAAAAGGTTGATAGAATACGATGTACCAACCTGTTAACACCATATAACCAGTCGTCAGCGACTTCCCATCCGGACACCGAGCCTCATCGATGGCAAAGTCCAGCCCAGCAGCGCGGGATGGAAAGATGGGAGGGAGAAGAGGGTTGGGCAACAAGTGTCTTGACATACCATGTCATGAACCAAAGTGACTATATCACAAACACAAGTGACCACATTGTACCCTAAGTGACTGTTTCCAGGTTCCTATAAGTGACCTTTTTTTCGTTTTGGGCTAAGTGACCACTTAACCATAGTAAAAAACAAAAAGGTCACTTTGAAGAACCTGGTAGGAACTTTTACTGAACAAAGAATCTATGCATATAAGAATATGTATACAGTCCGACCGTTGCCCATGATTGCGGAATCCTTCACTGCCAATCCCAGTGCCACACCACCTTCCCACCCATCGCAGAATATTGGGTGCTTTTTGGACAAAAAGCGGCTCCTTCCAGGGCTCAAGAGCTTCAGTCCTGCAAGACAGGCTTTTTGACCAACTCTCCAGAACAGCGGCTTAAGACAACTAGATTCACTAGATCCGGATTCTAGTTCTCCAATATTCTCCAAGAGGATCTGTTTGCTCAGAAAGCAATCTCGACAGAACAAACAGCGAAGCAAACGCAGGTGGTTCTTCAATCCACCCCAAGTCCAACATCGGGGTCTAAACATGTTGCTTCGCTGTCCGATCAAGCGGAATTGATCCGTACTTGTGCTCTAAGGATTTTGGCATAATGCCTAACGTTGCCTAACTAAGCCCATGTCTAGTATCCCTTTCGGGCTCCAACCACATCCTCAGAAGGTACAAATAAGAGCTGACCCCCAACACCACCCACCCCAAACACCTTCAAAACATTGGAGCCCTATGAACATGTACTGATGCCATGATGAACAAACCGCAGTCACCTGACTCGCTGCTCGATGTCTTGCTTCATCGCTGCTGCTTCCTTCATATCCACCTGTACCGAAGACACGACGTCCGACGGTCCAGGACTGGTCGGTGGGGAACAACACACGAGGTTTTCCAGGACTGGTGCCTGTTGAAAGTATTATTGGCTTGATTTCGATGATCCTCCTTCAACTGTGACAGGAGGATAAGGACTTGACTTCAGGCCCTCAAGATCCCTCAAGGATCACTGATCTTTGATCGTTGAATCGTTGCTGTTTCAGAAGACTTCTCTTCTTACCGGGCGTCACTTCACCTGCGCCGCGGGGCGCCAGTCCGTCTCCACGGGGCCAAGCTCGAAGGAGTCCAAGGAGATGGTCTCCTTGGGTCGCGCAGTCGGTGCACAGATTGCACAGGAAATGGACCGACTGACTTCGCATTTTTGGCAAGAACCACCGGTGGTTTCGGTGGCAAAGAAAAAACACACGGGTGGGCCTGAGGTATAGGCTTCCAATGGTCTCTGTCTCTCTCTCTCTCTCTCCATATAAAAATGAAAATAAACATGTCTTTCTTGGGGGAAAGGTCAATTATTGTGATGCGTTTGGTGACGGAAGTGTATGGCGGTATGAACAAACGAACCTCAGTGATGCACCTTTTGGCCAAAAGCCGGCCATGGTTCACATATGTTCACTCTAAATGAACCAAACAACTGACCCCAAAATGAACCAAATGGTCAAAGAATGTCATAAAGGATCCCAGGGGAGGTCCATGGAGTTGCAATCTCAAGGTGAGAGCAGTCCGAGCACCGGGCGGCGCAGGTTACCGAGCACAGCGCGAGGAGTATACGAGCGCTGGTGTGTACATCCCACTCGACTTGACGACGAACTGAGACCTGCGAGACTCGGCTGGCACTGCTGGCACGTTCATCGGGCTGGGCTCAAAGCAGCGGGCGATATAGCCTCGAAGCGCTTCTCGGCGCTTCTCCGGGCGGTCGGGACGTGTGCGCAAAAGCAGGAGTGGAGTGTGTGTCTATGTGGATGTTGCGTTTGGATGGAAGACAAACCTCGCTAGAACGACGATGTTCCCAACAAGGTCGTTCTTGCAGGGCAGGGACACCTCCATTCTCGGTGCAGAAAACGAGCCTAAAGCAATCCCTTTGGTGACGTGGTCCCCAGACTGAACTCAAAGTGCCCTGCAACTTATTCACACAAAACAAGGCATCTACGACATGGGCTGTTCAAATGCAAAAAGATGAAACAACAACACAAAAATGCTGAAATCAATCTTTGTTTTGCAGTCGGGCAGCAAGTGCAAGGGAAACTCTCTCTCTCTCTCTCGCTCTCTGTCAAACATTTGCAGTAGCTGCAGCGTTCTTGATTGATCTTGATTGATGGCTTTTCCCTCCCCACAAAAAAAAGGACACTTGTCACTTGTCTATAATTACTTGTCTTGACCAATGAAGGAACCACCTCCCATGGTCTTCTCATGGTTCCTTCCTCCGGCCAGTCCACGCGCTTCGCTGATTCACTCGCTGCTCATCGGCCGAGCTGCTCATCGCTTCGGACCCACGGCTGGTGGCCACCAAGGCGCCAGCCATGCGCCGGACCTCCGAGCTCGAGCTGGATCGGCAGCCGATCGTCCAGTCCCGGAGTACTCCCGGATGAAAACACCCTGATCTGAGAGGTCCAAAATCCCATGGAGTACGTATTTTTGTTTGTTCCTCCGTACTGATGTGTGTATCCATGGAGATCCATGGAGTGCCCGAAAGGCGCTTAAACCCATGGTCTAAGGCGCTCCTGACTCGTGTTCGATCCTCGGAAGGTAGGAACCGACTACAAAGCTTCGAAACGAAGCTAGTTGGAGCCCAAGGGGCTTGAATGTGGGAAATGGACCCAACGGGATTGAAGGTCGGTTCCTCAATATCTCAAAAGCCCACACTGGCCATCTGTTTGGGGCGTCTTAGCTCAACTATAGTAGCTTACCATGTTACAAAAGTAAGTAGTTAGTAGTAAGTCTGTGGCATAGTCCTTTGATGAGCCCAACCCCGTGAAGTTTGGTCATACAATGCAGCAATTTTGTCCCTATAGCATCATTGGACCCTCCTCTCAAGGGTTTTGACTCACCCTGCTAAAAACGCAGGGCTTGGACTCTCAAAACCTTCACCTTTGAGTTGAGGCTTCTTGATTCTCAAAAGGCTGATTCTTGATACTTCCTCTCTCATTCCAACCCGATCTACCACCCGAAACCGGTCGACCACTGGGTTTCCCAGTCAACGACACTCCCGCGAAGAAAAAGCCCCCGCCTGCTGTGGGCCGAAGTCCGTGGCACAGAAGTGCACGGCGGTCCAGTCCTCTGAAGTCCAAATGCCTGGTGAGACGGTGAGACGGAGATGGACTTAGCCGAGCCTGGTGAGATCGTCCTCTTCAGAGGTCAAAACTGTCTGGTGCGGTGAAGTGTGAAAGGCCAGATGCCTGCCTTCAGCCTGGTGCAATCGGCGTCAAACACACTGGCTGCGTGCTGCGTGCTCTTGGTCATTTCTTTCTGGTGCAGTCAGTGAACATGCGTGAGCATGTGGTCTTTTTGTGGAACTCTAGTGCCCTGAATAAAGAACACATGTGGACATACACTTGTTTGAGGGTAGAGAAGTAGACAATCTAAGGTGCCGACCCCCATAGTTCGTTTAGGGATGGAGTATTTTGGTGTTGAAATGAGACAGAAAAACTATGTCTTCAAAGCAACAACAAACATTCTATGGCCAGAAGTGACTTCTCAGTTGAGGCTAGCACGTTCTGCCCTCAAGATAGTCTGGCTCAATCCACATCCACTTCCTCCCCCCCGGGGTATGGCCATGTATGGCCAGAAGCTACCGGTACACAGCACCGACAGTGGTGAAGGACATAAAGCCTGGTTGTCCATAAAACATGCCGAATCCCTGGCCACAGCGAGATTGAAAACATCCTTAAGCATCATTGGACCCTCCTATGGAGTGTTTTGACCCTGCATAGCAGGGCCTTGGACCCTCAAAACCTTCACCTTTGAGGGTTCTTGATTCTGAGGGATATATATATATATAGTACTACTTTGCACCCATTCATTGACACGAAACCCGCCAACTAGCCAACCTGTGTGATGCTTCTGTCTTCTCAAAGGCCACCGACAAAAAGGGCGGTTTGATTGATGAATTGGCACCCTAGCACCCAAACCACAACGATGAACACAGAAAGTCAAGAACCAAAGTGATTCAGGGAAGACAGGGTTCATCCACCTCATCTCCTGCAAACCGCCAGACTGGTGTTCCACCAAACGGGTGTTCTCTTCCACACGCTCCCAAGGACGAACGGACGCCTCTCCGCTGCTGCATCTGCAAACCCATGGCCGAGCAATGCAGCAACGCTCGCATCGCCGAGGCATCCCCCGGTGCTGGCGCTGGAGACATGAAGTTGTGGTAGGATCGGAGCCCTTTGCCTCGTTGGGAGACGAACTTCCCGCCGGTAGAAGAACCTCCGTCATACCTTTTGCATTTTTTGGGGCTTGGTGCGTAAAGCTCAAACAGAAGGTTGTTGTTTTATTTGTTTCGGAAAGTGTGTCTTTTGCAAATACATTATGTTGGTTTCTCGGAGGAGGCTCATAACTGCATGTTGCAAGCTTTCATCCTAATGACATCTTCTTAACTCCACCAAGCCCCAAGAAGCACCCAGCACATTCGTTAAAACTCCAAACCAAACCGTGCCCGGCGGTGCCCTTCCCCTTCCTCTCACCCCACTTCCTTCGGCCCAAAGGCGTGCATTGGGACCACCCTTGAGCTCCTTCAGCGCCCGACGCACCCGACGGTGGACTTCAAACTTGGCCAAGGCCTCGTTCCTGTGGAGTGCCCAGAGGCAAGCGGGGGATCATGGAGTGGGGAGAGCGAACAACTGGTCGCAGCGATTTGAAGGTGTTTTCAAGCTGGAGTCCATCTGATCACGAACCTGACCTTTTTTGGTCTTTGGATTCTTATACGTGTGTTGTATACCTATACTGGACATATAGGTATAGTGTATAGTTTCAGATGATATCCGGGTCAAACATGCGATTGGCACTGAAGAAGGCACAACTCTTTGACTCCCTATAGGTAGCCACAAACCGATCTCAACCGAGCACTACTCTGAGATACTCAACAAGGGCCCAATACATCTAACCTTGAATATTGGTCACCCTACCCCTGAAACAATATGCTTTAACGTTGAGAGCTGTATAGTGACATATAAACCCTGGATGTCCCGGTCTGCAGGTCTTTCTTCGGTCCCTGGGGCCAAAACAAGCCGAGCATCAACGGCGCGGCGGAGAGGAGCTGGTTCTGCCAACGGAGGCCTTGAAGGCGAGTGAGGGCCTTTTGAGCCTCGCCCTCGGCCATCTTCACCTGTGGGGCGCCCGTTGGTGGTTAGGGAAGAAACAGTGAAAAACACAAACTGGTTGGTGGTTTCAACTAACCTTAAAACATATTGCTCAGGTGGGTTCAATCGTCCGAAGTAACGGTTGAACATAGAAATATCTGACACCGTCTTGGAGTCTTGGAGAAGATCTCTGGGCGTTGCAGAACATGGGCATTCAGAATCATCTGACCGACTGTCGGCGCAACCGACTGCGTGATCTTGAGAAAAGGTGCAACTCCGTGACAAAGAATGACTCTAGAATCTAGAATGACAAACAGGGCATATATGGCGGCCCCCTAGGGTCGACTAGACCGACCCCCTAGGTGGGCAGGAGTTTTGCGATCACAAACCGTCAGGTCGTGCGAAAGTGGTGATTTTATCAGGGTGTCACGTTCCATTTCAGCTGCGACCTATATGTAAGAAGTGCATTTTGGTAGGCACTCCTATGGCGTCCCCCTTATCTTTAAAAAACACTTGGAACTTCCACCACATGAAAATCATTACAGTAGAAAAACATCCTGCTTTCACATACACCAAGCTTCCAAAACCTTCCTCGCCACTTCCAAAACCATCACCCACCTTCTCCCTACCCTCCTCGCCCGTCCGACCTGGACGTGGCCCCGGCCGGGCTCCAGGATCACCTCATGAGGCACCAGCTGCTGCTCTGCCAGCATCGCATGGACACGCTCGGAGGTACAGTCCTCTGGGACGGGGCCAAACCTGAGCGGTCTGAGCAATGATTTACGGGTGGGGTGATCACTGGAAACACATGGAAACGTCGGACCCACTCTGTTTTGGGGCTCCGAGTTGATTCAAAAGGAATTTACTGATATATACTTTTTCGAGAAGTTCAAGAGGTGTTTCCTGGTGAAAGGCAGTATGGTACAGTTGCGAAGCACACCTTAGGGTCAAAGAAAAGCAGTTGGAGGGACCTATGACAACCAACACGCCTGGCACGCATCACACGACCAAGCACCCACGCGAGCAGTGGAGGTCTTTCGCATGGTCTTTCAATTACTTAAAAAACAACAAGGTTACAAACCATGTTGTGTGCAAGGCAGCATGGTGTGTCCGGGTCATACCAGTAGGCCAACACGACCAGTCAACGGTACTGACGGTGTTGACGGACACCAAAAGGCATCACAAAGCAAAAAGGTCACGGTACCAGTGCGGTGATCTCAAAAGCGTAGGTTTGAGGGCGCAACCCTTGGGGTTTCAAAGCTGAGAGAACAGGGACTGGCTGAAGTGGCTTGCAGAAGTGCTGTTCCTCAAAGAAACCCAGCTTCAAAGGAGGGTCACATCACACGTTCCTAAGCCAACCACCCAGTTCATCCAAGCGGCCATACGCCTCCTCATTTTGAGGTGCAGTGCGAAGTTGAGGAAAAGCATGTGTTTTCAATATAGGGTCGTTTCAATTCAACTCCAATATCTAAAAGCACATCGTTGATACTTGCTTAACACATGAAACAAGAAGTTGCCAGCAAAGGTTGAAGAAACCTATAAATATAAACTCTCCTATAGGTACCCCAGGTTACTGTCCTAGTTCAGGTCACTTTATTAACCTCTGTAGGTGTCAGCATGCTGACAGCTTCTTCGTCCATTTCTCCAGTTGCGAAAACGACGGACGACGGTGACGACGGACGACGGCGGGTTGCACGGAGACGGCGCCGGGGATGTTTTAAAGAAAAACACCAACAGCATCAGCTGAACCCTTGAACGAAAACACAGTCATAGCCCAAATGAGTTGAGGAGCAAAGTCTTCCAGTTCCAGGGGCCAGGGGTGTTCCTTGAAGGAAGAAACGACCTCGAAAACAACCTCCCCCAAACCTCAGAGGTCGGTATTTCTTTGCATCTTGGACCCTGCCGACCGCTCCTTCTTTGCCGAAGCTTTTTTTCGGCTCCCAAGTCTCCAGTGGCAGGGTCGGAAGTGGACCAACGTTCGTGCTCGGAGGAGGTGATCAAGGCGAAGTAGGGGATGTGAACCGTGAAGCTCTTACGCCTCCCGGCGCGAGATGAGGGGTGGAGGAGAGGTGGAAGAGTGGAAGATAGGTGAAGCTGACTCCAAGGAATCAAAGGTTTGGGCACCGAGATCCAGCACTCAGGAACAATGAACCATGGCTGTGTTTTCAGTGTCAAGCTCAAGTAAACACATACAGAGTGGCTGTATGTTCATGCATATTCTACTTTTAATGCCTAAGTTGTGGGCAGTTGTCAACACTCCAGGGATTGCCAGCATCTTACCTCAAGCAAATCCCGACATGTCTTTCTTAGGTAACGGTCAGGGGTTGGGATCTGTATTGCCCACCATATGATTTTGTCTCAACTGAAGTGGTATGCATGTTGCAGAACTAAGCTGGAAGATGATTGGCAACGCTTTGTCTTCTTCAACATCCGGGCTTTACTGTGTGTTTGAGATTGCATGAATACAACTATATACAAAACAATAGGCCCATGCAACATGAACATACATGAACTACGTTCAGAAACATGCCGCAATGCAAGCATGTTGTTCCAACAGCAACTGTTTCCATCCATATTAATGCATGTAACATGCGATACCTTCAGAAACAGCCAAGAGTATCATCTCAATCCCTATGGTGGCCTATGAGTCTCCTTCTGCTCCTATTCTTCAACGCGGAGGTCTTGCACTCACTTCTGTAAGGGACCAAGATTGCAAAAGGCCTGGGCGCATAGATTTTGCCGAAAATATTCGCCTGCCATCCCGCGCTTGGCCCCCCGAAGGTAAAAGTGATCTTCAAAGAAGCGGGCTGAGGGTTCTCGCAATGCTTAAAAGTGGGAATCTGCGTCTGCAACTAATCAAATACATAGCGAATCGGTTCAGTTGGAAGATCAACACACCAGGATATGGTCAAATATGGTGTCTAAAATGCCATGGAACCCTCGATCTATCATGATACGGCCATTGAAACACCCGAAACAGCGAGCGAAGGCCGGCGCCTTTTGCCGGGTTGTTGACATGTCGCAAAGTGCGGTACGAGTCGAGACGGGCGAAAGACCAGGTCGACGAGCCGGAACGAGGCTTGAAGTGTTGATTAACTAACCAGTGAAATTGGCAGTTGAGCAACGAAAGCAGTAGACAGGGGGGAGCCAGCTTTACTTGGCCGATGTTAATCGCACAGATTGCAATCGCTGACAAAGTGCCACCTCTTGCCAGGCAAACTTCAGGGTAAACTGGCACGTAATGGGCTCAGGAACAGTTGTTCAGTCATTGTCCCGCTGTCAAGGGAGATTTGGGACGCTGCAGGCCCTGGCTCTAAGCATGACTGGTGGTGTGTTGGATCCCGGAAAACCCGTCCTTGCTCAAACAGGGGGTGAACTCCACGTCCATGTGATGTGTTCGTGGGAGAGTAACATAGATGTGTAACATAATAACGTGGATGATTATGACATGGAGTAACGTACTTACTCTAATCTACTATAAAATATATGTTTGTAACCTGTAGTTGTTTAACATGATGTCAAGAGCACGGCTAAACGCGCCGAGCCGTTGAACTGAACTGCGCCTCCGGCTTCTCCATGAGCGTCAGCGAGCGCGGAGGGCCCAGCAAACGAACCTCCGAGCTTCTCAGCGCTCGGCGGAGCTCCTAGGAGCGAGGAGGCGAGGAGCATCGAGTAGTCGTCGCGAGGAGCATCGACCGGCTGGTTGGACAAAGATCCCTTGGCCCTTGAGTTGCAGTGGTTGATAGGGGTGGGCAAGTTATTGTATATCTATGGTAGGATCGTTTTGGATTGTTTCTACCAGCCAGAACATCTACAAGCCAAACTGTTTGGGCATTGAAATCACTTGCTCCGCTGCCGTCAGTCGCGTCAGTGGGGCGCCCCGTCGGACCGATGGGGCTCCTCGGAGTTCAGCACACAGGGCCGAAGGGTGAGCAGGATGGCGCTCTCCGCCGCATGGCACCCTGACGTCGATGGCCCGAGCCCGGCGAGGACGAGGATCGGTTTGGTGGTCCGGTGCAATGGCGATCATCAAACACATGTCAGGTGTCCATTTCTTTTGGCCCCAAAAAGAGGTGAATTTAAGGATGATTATGGATGGTTACGGGGTGTCCAATGGTGTCCATTCGACCATGGGTCCTGGTTATGGGGTCTCTTTTGCATCTTGCACAAAGAAGATGATGAATTCCAGCAGCCCACAATTGTCAGTTGTCGTGTCGCAGTTGCTCTGCTTCTTAAGCCTGATAGGGTTGTTAACCTCATCTTCAGAAGGTAGTCAAACCCTCCTGAACAACCCACCCCCACCTCTCCGGTCTGGTTCCCAACAGGAAGACTCAAAGACTGCTCCGTGCCCTGCGCAGTCCAAGGTGCTCACTTCGCCCCGCGCCCTTCCGGCCCAACGGAACCCTCGCCTCGATCGGTACGCACCGCGCGGGCTACCCCCAGGACATTCGGGCGGCTCGGGCCACCCGCCGCGGGCAAGGCGGAGAGTAGCGCACCCTCCACACTGTTCATGGCCTCACAGCGGTTCGTGTTGTTGATCCACTTTAAGAATCCTTGGACTCGACACCTTCGCAGGAATCAGGACCCTCAAAGCCCTTTGAAAATTTGAAGGCCCGGATTCTTGGGGCAGCAGAACATCTGCGTCGACAATGTTGGGGTGGTCGGTTACTTTGGCCGGGAGGGGGTGCCATGGGGTGCCAATGATCAACTCACTTGCTCCCAAGTGAGAATGCATGGCTTGGAATTTGCTATTGTACCGAATCTACTGGGCATATAGGAACATCATAGGAACCCTTAGACCCATTCCCATTCTGCGTCTGCGACCCACATCTTTCATGATGCGACCGACATGTGTCGAAATGCGACCGCCCCAACGACCCCGTTCACTCCGGCTCGCTGCGAATCTGCGAAACCACACAAACTAGGACCGATCTTGAGAGCTCTGGTACTTGGGATCACAGGATACCAACCAGGACCCACAGTCGGTATATATTAATGGACACCTCTCACACCTCTCAGAAGGCTATCAATAGGCACCCCTTCTTTAGGAGCCCGCCCCGAGCGGGTTTATGACGCTTTGGTGTCAACAAGCCCTGGACCTCACAACACCCGGATCCTGTGTCACTTCTAGAGCCTATTGGCAATGTTGGCTGGGCGCACATCATTGGCTCCCTCGTGGTGAGACACAATCGCTCGTGGTGATTTGTTTATAGTCTTGGAAGGTAGGGAAACATACACGAGAAGTGAAACAAGGAAGACCCATCAGTTTGATTGAAACATCTATCGGAAGAGGTACCGGATGTTCCACATTGTTACAACAAAATCCCAGAGATTCACAGTGCACGTGTTGTACAAACCAATGCACACCTTGGGGTGCCCCATCATCGCGCCACAGCACCCCTTCCTCTCCTCTTCATCGCGCTCGTTCTGCAGCGCACTGCAACGGTACCTGGAGCCTGTCCGTCCGGCGCGAAGATGGTGGAGCAATGGAAAGCACAAACTGTTGAAAACAAGAACTTCTGCCGCTGTTTCATTAGCCCATATCCTAACACACATAGACACGTTCACCCAAAATGTATCAAACTGCTTCACTCTCTAACCAAGCCACCCAAGAAGGATGCCCAAGACAAAACCAGATGTGGAGCCCTTTCTCGACCAGCAAACGCTATTATTAAAGAATGTTACACGGCGTCCACCAAACTAGGGGAATTCCATCATCTGCTCAATTCCTCATGGAGATTGGCAGCCAAGAAGACATGGACAGCCCGTCGTGGAAACCACGTTTTGCCACCTGAAAAGCAGTGCTGCACACCTTTCTGTTTCTTCGTTCCGAAGGGTATTCCATGGACATCCCATGGATGTAGGGCAGGCGTCTGACACCCCGGGCCCACGGATGTGAGGGCATCGTCCACACGAGCACAAAGCACAAACCCGCCTAGATAGCCCAAGGTGAAAAGGATTCGCTCCTGCGACAGAAAGGGGCGGGAGCATCGCCACACAAAACCAAGAGCAAAAGACACAGAACATCACAAAACACAACGTACTCCGTTTGTCGCCGGCCCGTCTGAGTCGGTTCTCCTGTTTTCATTGGGACTTTCGGTCTTGTGGTGAAGGTTTAATTAGGACCACGAGCCACTACTCCTTTTCACCTTGCAAGGGTCCATCCCCCGGGCACGGCTTAACTTATGCCCCCTCGATTCCTCACTAAGACCTGCGCAGTGTCCGAAGTGGCCTCTCCGGGCAGTGGAATCGTGAATCTCTGCCCTCGTTGACGATCCAACGCCCCACCACGATGCAAAGAAGCCTCTTCATGGCAGTGATGTTCCCCCAAGTCCGGACCAATAAGAATGCTACTGATGTGAGTTCGACATGGGTGCACCAATTCAGATCTGACATCTCCTTCACCACTTGACCACCAGTTCAAGCCCTTAAAGTGTCTCTCAAAGAGCTACCAGTATCTTGTGAGTGATAACTAATTACCCTGGAATAGCAATCCCATTGGAACTCCTGGTTGATGCACAGTCCCTTGTTTTTTGGGCGGCAGGCTTTGGAGTTGGAGTTCAATCCATATCTTGAGCTGCGGAGATCCGCGATTGTGGTGGCCATATCTCTGCATGACATGGGTGAGACGCGTCTTATCTCGATCACCTATGCACGTTTACCACACTAATTCCTGTTGATATTTGTGTTGTGTCCAGGAAACATAAATAAGACCTCGGATAGCTTGAAAGTCAAAAAACACATAAATAATATATATGTAAATAACTATAGTATATGTCTATGTTAATATATACGCCTAATCACATTGTATTGGCATCTATTGGCTTTACAAGTGGCTGAAGGAACCTTGCACCACCCCCTGGAATATCGACTGTCCAACTCCCTTGCTCATCACGCGAAGCTCGTCTCCTTCCCTTCCTTCACTTTGGCCGCCAGCGGATCACACTTGGCCGCCAAGTGCTTGAAGAGTGCATTTCCTCAGCACTTTGAAATGCATCGCAAGAGGCACAGCACGAGCGGCCCGGACCGGGCTCGTCGACACCGCGCACCGAGCGGCGAGAAGCGAAGTCCTCACCGCAATGGCCGCATCGGTGACTGACCGTGGCCTCGCTGGATCCTCAGACTGACCGTGACTGACCGTGTGTTGTTTCTTTTTTGTTGCAGGAGCTAGCGGCTATTGGGTCACACCCTTTAAAGAGTACCGCTCGTCTAGGTTGCTGGACTCCAAACTCCACCGGTGTTTTCAGTGTTTTTCACGGTCCCAAAAGGAGGACTCCGGTTTCAAAGGGGTTTTGTGGCCATGGAGTGTCAATCGCCCCGAATTCTGGGACCTCCATTCACCACCCAACTCCCGTGAATCTTGGTATCGGCTCCTTCTTGGAAGAGAGAGAGAGAGAGTGGTCACTGGCATCTGTTGGCTTGAGGGCTATTCCGGACTGCAAAGCTTGCCTGGATCCATGTGTATATGCTGGCGATTAACACTCCCAAGTGACACATGATGGATGCCCAAACAAGAATGCATGCCACCAACACATCTTAGAAGGAGGTCTCAAAAGGCACCAACAAAAATGACTTCCAAATTAAAAGACAAATACATACAAACAGCATCAAACAGCTAACCCAAAAGTCGCCCGATGGCGTTCACCCATAAACTTAATCCCCTACAGTAAATAAAGGGACGAAAGAAAGAGACTCCCAATGGGTGATGTTTTGCAACCTCAAGAACCGAGTTGAACATGCACACTTCTGAAGGTAAGGCTCAAAACAAAGCAACACCACTGGGATCCACTAGTGCTTGAGATGTTCACTCTGTCAAAGCTAGCATTGAATAAAACATGTGCACCGCTACTAGTAACAAGTGCATTTACGACTAGTAGCTAAGAAGCTACTAGTCGTAAATGCACTTGTTTACTAGTAGCGATGCACTTGTTTCCAATGTGGGGGTAAGTGCGCCCATTTCCCCAGCTCCACACCCCAACCAGCGCCGGTCCACCAGCTTCAGCGCCCATGGCGTGGTCGATTGCCATGGCTCCAGCTGATCCGCAGGGGTCGTTGTCTCATTGAAAGGAAACGTAACTAATGGGGCGCGACTACTAGGTCTCCACCCCCAGTTGCTGCATGATCTCTAGTTGCTGCAGCAACACCTTTGACATGCCAGCGCTTGCATCACGGAACTTTGGTTGTCTTTTGTTGCAACAAATATCAAAGAACCCCCCGACACTTGAACACTTTGGCAAGTGTGGAAGCAAGGGGGTGTCCACGCATTCGAAGACATACCATCCTGAACATGTATTGCTCCGTTTTAAGCTATAGTGTCTTCTTCAAGCTGCAGTGCATCACATATCACCGCCGTGCGGGCCAACAACTCATTCATCACGAGAGCCGTCACTCGTGTCACTCGTCTGTTTCATTAGGGCCTGTTTGTTAGCTCATTCCCACAAGAACATGTCGCCATCCCCTCCTCACTAGGTTGTCCCGAAATCGCCGTTGGAAAGCACAATCCAGTTTGCCTGGCCCCGGACATCTTCTCAGGCACTTCAGCTTGGGCTGGCCTGGATGAGCAGTGAGTGGTACCCAGAGTTATTTAAGTTAAATTCACAAGTTTAAAGCAATTGTTTGTCTTTTTGCAATATTTTAATTTATATATATATGTTAGCTGTTAATATGTGTTTATCTAAATCTAATCTACATCTATCAATCATAGGTCGGGGCTTTGTGTATGTGCTTTGTTTTGCAAGGTAATGCACCCTTGCAGGTGCGGGATGCGATCATTCTCCAAGTCTTACCCTCATCTACCGAGCTGACTAGCTGGGTCGCCAATCTCAAATAGTATAGAACTGCCAAAGACTCCGAGTGGATTTGGCTCTGAAAACACCAGACATCAAACCCAAGCTGCAGTGCTCAAAGTGAGGCAGTGTATGTTCTAACAACACTACATACAACCTAAATTTTAACCCATGGGACTGTGATGGTTTGAGGGGGGCTCTGGTGAGGGGACAGTCTGTCGAACAACTCCACTGGCAACTTCTCTATTTCTGCCATGGGAGATCAACTGTCTCCCACTCGGAAAAGAAACCGCGTGAACTGCCCACTTGAGTGGTGAAGGATGGGTGGGGAAAACCATTTTTAAGTTATGGGCCGACAGAGGGGAGGGGACACATTTCAGAAGCTGAAAAGCAGGTGTAGCTGTCTTCAAACACCATCATATTAGAATATTGTTTTGTTATTCACATCTTCCTCGATCTACCAATGCACGGTCCAATGAACAATGCCTTGTCACGGTCCGATGAAATCCTTCTGATTCGGCGATTCCGTAGCCCTTTCAGCCGTTGAAAGCACGCGAATGAGTGTGGCGATGCAGAACAATACTGCTGGATCATCGGATTAGTGTGGCGGCCCAGCATACGGTACGTCTCCCAGCATAATGTTGGCGCCTGATTAGTAAAGGGGGCCCCCCCCGCCTCCCCTCAAACAAACAGGAGGTCCTCTATAATAAAGTATCACCAAAACAAATCTGGATTCCTGTGAGAATTCCTTTTTGTAATTGATTGTAGTATTCATTTTCCTTTCATAGATTGTATTCAGCTTCCTTTCTCAGGTGCTTTGTAATTGTTCTCAGCAATCCTTTTGATTTGCAGCCTCAGATCTTGAGCTCAAGAGAAGCCCCAAGCTTTCAGCTTCTTCCTCAGCTTCCATGGCTTCCTAAGTAAAGGAAGATTCCATGAGCAATTTTTCCAGTGAAAAACACTTTTCACAATTGAGGACCCAAAAACACATTTATTATTGAGGATCAGGTGCCTTCCTGGTCTACTACCTTGAACATTTGTTTAGGAGCAATGTTTTATAAAGGGTTTAATTGGGGAATTGGTGGTTTTGGTCAGCTGTCAGTTTTGAAGAAACCTAGAGAAAGCCAGATCAGCTAATGAATCATAATCATTGGCCTCAGGAGCTAAGTAAAGGGAGATTCCATGCGCATTTTTTCCAGTGGAAAAAACTTTTCACAATTGAGAACCCAAAAACAAATTTATTATTGAGGATCAGGTGCCTTCCTGGTCTACTACCTTGAAAATTTGTTTAGGAGCAATGGTTTATAAAGGGTTTAATTGGGGAATTGGTGGTTTTGGTCAGCTATCAGTTTTGAAGAAACCTAGAGAAAGCTATATCAGCTAATGAATCATAATCATTGGCCTCAGAAGGAATTCAAACCCTTATTAATTGGGCTTCCAATTTAAAAATTTAGGGCAAAAAAAAAATGCATTATAGAGGTACCATTTTTCAAACAGGGGGGTCTAAATAAATTTGGAAAAATTTAGCATTATAGAGGACCTATTTACTAATCAGGATGCAACATTATGGTACGTTCTTTGGGAAGCCAAGTGCTTAGCTTCTTCACATCAGCTGGAACTCGAGAAGAAGCCAAAGTTTCCAAGGCACAACATCGGCAACGGGTAGAAAGAGAACCCCAACAATCCATGGAATATTGACCTATATTGACCTTATAACTACCCTACATTGACCCTGAAAACATCTTAAAACCAACCCAATGTGTGCAATACATGGAAATTGAGTGTAAACAGGTCTACTGTAGGTAGTAGGGACCTTCTCGATCATCAATGCGATCTGATCTCCTTTCAGAGCCTTCTCTGGAGATTGGCGGGTGCTCCAAAGCCGCTTTAAACAGGGGACACAACAGTTGGGGGCTTCAAATGTTGCACAACTTGGAACAAATGGCTAACACTTGAACTGGCGTGTTGTTGTGTGATACTCGAGTGGATCTAGTGAAGGTTATTAAAGGATATGAGTTATGATAATGGGCTGCTGGCTGGGCTGGCGTTTGAGCTGGAAATACTCACTTGCTCAGGGGGGGTTCAAGTGAGCTCCGGGTCAAGCAGAACATCCAGAATATCAAGTGTTTAGACATGTTTAGACTCTTAGATACTCTTACAGACAGCATTTATTACATTGAAGAGACATCGGCCAACTGTAGATTTAACATCATTTCGATACTGAGAGGGCAAGCGCAAGTGATATATAATGTCTATACGAATGTCTATCAGCTGTCACGAAAAAAATAATCCAGCAAAAAGGGTGGCGTCTGTCATGTCCGCCGTTTTTCTGGGTGTCCGGGAGTCAACCCGACCCGCCAATCAGAAAACATGTGAACACATGACTCAATCATCTAAATTGAGGCATTATAATTGCTTAGTGCTTCCAAGCTTCACACACTTTTTCAACACTTCAGCTTCTCAGAAAACGATAGAAAACGTCTTCCCGACCTCCACATCCAAAAAGAAGGTGGTTGGGATGGATTCAAAGGGGTCTGTCCCCACCTTCTTTTCGGATGTGGTTCCAAAATGTTGGAAGGGCTTCACATCTTCACCGGCTTAACCATGCATGTTTGTTTCACAAAGAAACTTCCGATTCCGCGGTGTGGTGCATGTTTTTCCTCGGTTCTTCCTCTCATTCTCTCTGACTTCCCGGGGTCTTCCGGGTGGCCTCAAGGGAAAGGACGCTGGGATCTGAATGAACCTTAGACCAGGCACGGACGCAGCTGCAAGCGCGGGTCGGTCGCCAGCTTTCGGGGGTTGGTCGACATGTTTTTTAATGTCGTCGCTGCTGCTCTGCTTGCGCAGAGCACAGCAGCGCCATCAGTCAGAGAGAGTTGTTTTACAGGATGTCCGCACTGATAGTTGGTCATGATTTCCATAATCCCAAATCTGGCATGCAACATGCTACCTGTGAATGGTCGAGTCTGCGACGCGTCAAAAACTAGACAGTAGCTTTCTCTAGAGATCATCCGCTAAAAAACCTGTGAGGGGACGTGATGGGAGGTTGACTATGTTGACTTATAACTGATGTATATTATAACTCAGATTTGTTGGATTTCCATGAATTTCCCATCTCCCTTGTCAATCTCCATCTCGTGGGATTTCCGATCCAGGGGTCCGTCCACTCCGTCCCACGCGTCCACCCGTAGCAGCTCCGAGTAGCAGCTCCGCCTTCAAATCCTCGCGTGCCAAGAGTAGCAGCAGCTGCCGCGGCCGGCGAATGACCTGCGATGAGGTCAATTTACAACTACTTGCTCATCAACAATCAGAATCAACGAGGGGTTCCAAAGATGTTTGTCCAGTCATTGGCGTAAACAAATGATCGTAACATACGTCTGGTTCGCTTCATTTGCCGTGATCGCCGGCTTCATTTCGGTGCCGCTATGGAGCTCGGTCATATATGGATACGTCTCGTTTGCCCGGGTTCCGCCGCGCCAAAACGGTACGTTTCGAGCGCCAAAAACGTTCGTCCAAATCACAGGACCAAACAGGTCATGTTTTCATGGATTTTATACCCTATGGATCCACATACCGAACCTGAGGTACGGTGATTGGATACTCTTTGTGCAGGCGCCAGGAGGCTCCAACCATCTGAGAAGGTATGTGGATCCCTAGGGATTCCGGTTGTTTCATCTTTTTCTTCTACGACATCCAATTCAAGGCAGTCCGGGGACCATGGACATCCTGGAGCTTCATCCCAAGCACCATCCCACATGGCCGTCACGTCAGGCTTCCAAGAACCGCTGGTACTGGTACTATTTGTTTGATCCATCCGTCGCCACACAACCCCACAACCCCACACGTAAATCCACGACATCGATGACACGGCTCAACTTCTCATTTCATCCGCGTTTCTTTCTTCGTAGCTCGTTTGTCCACCGAGATCGTGGATCTGTTAAAAGACTTCGAGGATCCCAGTGACCACTCCAAGAGCATCCAAGTGTCGACATGAGACATGGAGACGTCTGAGACATGTACCCGATTGACTCAGCTGGGAGGTTCCAGAATGCCAGAATCAACCGAGGTGGTGGGAAGAGTCTCATGACTCATGTTGAGAACAAAACCACTGAATGATAATGATGAAGCATGTCTTAATAGACTAACATGACTAAATAGGATCCTTTAAGTCCATGAAACCTCGACCTCGACTTTAGACTCGGAGTGGCAACCGGCTCCAGTACAAGAGAGCCTCAGCAAAAGTATCTCAACAACTTGTCCGCACACGTTCATACGTTCATGAACCCTTGCACTCGCTGTGGATGTTAATAAGGTTTGAGTATCCTGGGCCATATCGCACAAACTTGATCACAGAACACAGAACTCGTGTTTCGTGGCTCTAGGATGCTTGTGTTTGGAAGCACCGTGACTGTGACATGTCTGTTCCAAGCCTTTCTTTGTTTGATGAACACAAATTCCCTATCGATCGTTTCATGTTTTTTTTGTTTTTTGCGTTGTAAACACTGCAGCTCTAGTGCCTGCTCTGATCTGATCGTCTTCCTCGGTTTTGCTGGCTCCAAGCGACTACTTTGAGTCGTATAAATCAATCAAGTGGCCTGTCTTCAGCGAAAAGCCTTTCATCGGAATTTCCCAGAGCTCCACGGAGCTCCACAGATCTACAGGTCATTCCTGGTTCCCATCTGCTCATTCCTCTCTGGATATGCCTGTAGAAGTCCTATTTTCTACAAACAAGATTAAACAATCCAAAAGGTACATTCATGTAAATTCACAATCTCTTCATGTTTTGAAGCCTACACGATGGGATTGGAGACCAAACTTTCGCAATCAATCGCCCAGTTGCCCGTCAACTTCGCACAGCGGCTCTTCCACTCCGACGACGTGCTTGCGCCGCTTCGGCCGCTTCCGCCGCCGATCAGGCGGCCGCGCACGCGGCACACGTCCTTGACACGAAGCTGGCCCAATTCATCGATCAACAGGTCCTGGTCGATGACCTTCCGCACCTCAAAGCCGCGGCCGGGCCGGTAATGCGCTCCAGGTCCCCTTTCAGAAAGAAACAACACACCTGCAAGGTAGAGTAGCAAAGAACTAAACACCCTTGACAACCCTCAACATTAAGACGAAAACATACAAAAATAACAACCATCTTAAGTGACTGAACTTGATCCCCTGGTTCGGTCACTTGGGGCTGTCGATCACTTAGGGACCCTAGGGACACCAAGGAGTGGGCACTTTAAAGAACACATGTGACATGTGATCAAAAACGGTCGTAAGGAGCCACCGATTTCTTTGCGTATGGAACTACTCGTTTTGCTCATTACACTTACAGTGGCTGGGAGGGCTGGAATTTGCTGATGCTTTGACGAGGGGAGTTCTTGGAATTTGTGATGTATCCCTAGGGATCTACAAACCTTCTCGGAAGGTACTTGGAGCCTCCAAGCCAGCATACAGATATCCAATCACCTTCTCAGAAGGTATGTGGATCCATAGGAATTTATATCACTATCCCATGCATTTGCATGCATTGCTCTGGCTGAATTGTAAAACTTTGTACGTCGTTGTTGCTTGACACTGCGCACGTACGGTAGCCGAGCTAGTGGCCCCCCCGAAAAGCCATGCATCGTTGCTTTAAGCTGGACATGAAAAATCCCCAGTTGAAATCAAGACTCCACCATCAAAGGTTTTAGCATGATTGAAAACAAAACACCACGGACGGGGAGGCCGGTCTTGTGAAGTCTTATAACCATATCATAATTATACCTCTCCATTGGGAACTCTGCCCACCTCCGCACAACATCCACGCGCGATGCACGCGCGCGCAGTGCGCGCGGTCGAAGAAATCATGGCACCACATCTTTGAGTTCGATCTCGAGCTCACTCTGCACGAGCTCTGGCTCGAATCTCACGGACAAAGCTCCTCGTTGCAGAGCCGCGCCGCTCCGCTCCGTAGAACGGCCAACCGTGTTGGGTTTGGGATGGCTTCGGGATGGGTGAAGGACGGGATACGTTCCAAAGCTCCATCAACAGGCGCCCTGAAGGACTTGAGTGGATTAGAGACTTCTGTTTAGGACTTGGCGCAGTATTGGAATGTTTATACTTTTTTCAATTTTTCAGACTGACAACCTCTCCGAGTTTGAGTTCCACGCCACTTACGTCTTGATTTGGTGACTTCACCTATGTCCAGGTACTGCCAACCTTTGGTCGCACCCATGGAAGACATGGCAACGCGAGTGGAGGGCTAGGTTTGAGTTTGACGATGCAAAATGGGTATGAAGGTGAAATGAGATGAATACCTTGGCTTCATCAAGATATGTCCGTTCAATCGACTCAAGGGGTGTCCAAAGATGTATCCCGGATAAGTTGTCAAAAACCTCGTGCAGTTCGGAGGTCATCTGGCCACCCCCTCCGCGTCAGCCACACCCCAGACTCACACGACGAGCAGCTTTTCGCATTGGACTCCGTGGTTTGGCTGGTGGAAAACCTGGGACTTGGGACATCGCGCCCAGTGCGGGAAATGTGATCATTTGGATTGTTGGGGCGGTTGTGCCTTCAAAGAAGGATACACACAAATACCTCTTCATAAAAGAGCACAACCTTTAAAGACTTTCTTGGGGACATGTCTTTATATTGCTACTGAATGGGTCTGGTCTGGGACGAAAAAGTCTTGACACAAACATGAACACGATGCGTCTTTGTTTCTGGTCAACCACATCATTACACTTATAACACATGTGCACATTCAGTGCCAAGATTCAAATCTGGTCCAAGTCCACCATCGAACCGACCGACGTCTCCGTCTCCGTCGACCCCGCAGACCGGGACCGGTCCAGCGAACGAGCGAAGCCTCGGCCAAGTGGCAGTTGCAGGTGATCTCCGAAGCACAGGAAATCGCCTTTGGTGTTTTCCTGAGGAAAACAGGCACCAGGTGGCCATGTGGCGAGTTTGAGATATTTGTAGATATGTCCCGATGGAGATGACATGGGGTGCAAGAGACGTGGAAAACATGAAGAACACGCGGCGGGTTCCGGCCGGGTTCCCAGGGTCCAAGTGTGGTGGGATCTTCAACAGCCAAAAGAAGGCGTTACTTCGCAGCCTGGGGGGTCCTAGTTCTCCTGCGGTGTCCACATGATCTGTAGGAGATGTTCCATGGTGTGATGTGCATGGTGCATTCAGAAGTTCCTGTGCACTACACGTCTTTCTGGATAAAACACAAAGTCAGTTAAAATGCACGTTTTCTGATTGCAGCCATTTTGGCTCCATTGGGTGGCATTTTCCCACTTCCAAAGCCTGTCGTACGGTCAGCTAAGTCAGAAGTATTGAGATACCTTAGGTCGAAGGGTGTGTCCATCCCAGAGGAATGGCATCCGCTGCTCCCTCAAGAGATATAGAGCTTGTCAAATCGTCTTTTCCCGTCCTATGAGTCCTATATACGTCTTTCCCGTCCAAAACACATCTTGCCCCGTGCACTAGCCTACAGTTACGACGCTTATGAATCTGTGGTGGGACATGTTAGCAGGATAAGAGTGAGTTCAAGAACTGCAAGCCACAGAGTGCTAGACCGGATCCGAATCAAAATGACATGGGAGATCCGGAGTTTGAGGTGGAAGCGCAGGCTCCGGTGCAAGTGACAAGCAGGGCCTTCTTGTGTGTTTCAAGACAGGACCATGCTCACAGAATTGCACAAGATTGTTTTCATGTGCACAGATTTCTTTAGAGTACACGGAAATCTCCTCCAATATCAATTGCACATATGTTCGCCCAATGAAGATGCAGGTATGTGTTCAGAATTCGTCAGAATTCAACATGAGTACCATGCCAGCCTTGCCCAGCGATGCCAAGGAAATCCCTTTCATCATTGTATCGGATCTGTCTTATCTTTCTCGGACAAACATCAAGCTTGCTGAAGAAAAATGACACAATTAAAGCTATTCTCACACCCCCACACTCAAAGGCAATCAGCCAACCTAAGCAAGCACTTGTCATCTCCAAAGGGTAAACAGCAACACATTTGGGGGGGAACTGGTTGCTCAAAGACGGTAAGAACAGAAACGAGTGCCAGGACCCACAAGGGGTGGCTAAAGGACACCCTTTAACCTCTAAGGAGCTATAATTACTTGACACCCCTTAGGGGTCCTGGTGCAGGACCATTGATATCGATAGTTGGGTCATGTTGCGTCCCCTTCGGATCTTTCTTCGACCGCGGAGCATCCACTTTTCACGTCTCCACGTTTTTGGAGCATGCACGAGTGGAGACGGTCCTTCCCACGGGTCACCTTATGGGGGTTACCCTATAGATTCCTCTTTTTGGGGCACCTGTAAGATATGTAAGGGTAAACCCTGGAGTATTTCTTGAAGCTACATCCCACCGGGTCACGGTGTGCCATGCCCCGCCGTTCGGTGCCGTAGCAAGGTGCTCGGTAAGGACTCAGCTTGCGCACCGTCAAGCGCCGCGCCGGCGCGAAGCGCAGGGACTCGCGGGCGGCGTCGAAGCAGTGGTTCACGGGTCCCAGGTGAGCGCCGCTGGGGGAACGAAGGAAGAAGCTGTCACCAGAGCCTCGGAGGAAGGGTTCTGGCAAGAACATACCCGGAGTCTCAGTTCGTACCTCGGAACATGTCCCATCTTCTAAGGTACTTTGGATTGTTCAGGTATACAAGAACTTGAGTCTTGAGCCCATCCGGAAGAGCTCATTGGCGCCAAACTGAAGTTCCAATACTATGTTTCTATCCATGTGTTGCCCCTTTTAAGTAAAACAGTAGAACTTAGAACAACCTCTTTTCTAAATCCAGTGCGAAGGACTTTTTTCTATTTGGTGTCGGTCTTGTTGTCCATCGACTCCGTCGTTTGTTCACCTCCCATTAATGAAAGTGACAGCTGAGTGGGTTTGCTGACTAAACCAAGCCCTTGATGGTCTGTCTTTTGGGGTGGTTGCAAAATTACGTATATACACACAAAATGTGGGTGAGCATCAGTTAGGGTTTGCCAAAAGAGACCTGTTACAGATTGGATCAAATCATATCAAATCACATGTTCATCAGCTCCTCCACCGAAATACTGTTGATTTTGGCCTTTTTAATCGTGAAGTCCTCATCCTCGTGAAGTCAACCGCTACCAACCCACTGTGAGTCCGGGTACATCAGGTACACAACGACCACACCAGATTCGATTATGCCCAACCTGGTGACATCTTGGACTTTTACCTGGGGCTCCAACCACATCCTGAGAAGGTAGTTAGACTCCCCAAACCCACCACAGCCACCTTCTTTTCGGATGTGGTTGGAGCTCACATAAGGGTTCATTCCTCTGACACCAAGAAAAGACTCCAGGTTGTTCCGTGAACACTTCGGCCTGACAAAAGAACGTCTCCTTTCAGTCCGTTTCGAGATGCGGAGACGAGGTGCGGAGGTGGTTCCGACTGGGTGCTCGCCCGGAACTGCCGTTCCGCTTGTGGCCAGTGTCGATCTCCAGACGGAAGGCTGTGGGATGCGTCTTGGCGGGGCCCAAGTGCTGGTCTTGTGGGTTGAGCTCCAAACGACCTGGGACCGCAAACGAGGTGGAGAGTGGGGTGATTGGGCGTTTTTGCAGCTAAGGGTTTTTCGCGATCTAGTGGCGTATGGACAGGGGACAGTAGTGGTAAGGAGTGAGTGTGGGAAATGGTGGGGCCAGCTGTTGGGTGTGATGATTTGAAAAAAAGGCCTTGATCTATTCCTGATCATATTCCTTCTTGGTAATGTCGACTCAGGATCACTAATCCCACCAGAACATCAGAAGGTCTGGGACCCAAATAGTGGAAACACACCCCAATTAATCGGGAAAAGTGATCAATCTCTTCATGAGGAGAGATCCCAAAGATTGGTTCTTGCAAGAAAATGTGCAGAAGCTGGTGGGCCAAACTGATCATGGAGGGCTCATACTTGATGCTAGGTCCTAAGTCGACATTACTTTGCAGTGGATAGGGTATCTGAAGAAATCTGACATGGTAGAGTTCCGTCCATCCATAGATGATGGACAAGATCTGATGCACCACTGCTAATGTTGTTTTGTTTATCTTCATCCGCAGGGTGACAAAAAGTACCTCTGATGACCCAGAACAAAGCAGATCAAAGCCCTGCAGAACAGAGTATACATAATGACTTGGACCCTCCAAGGCTACACAAAAGTGTCTCCAGACCCTGTCAAAGGGTATGTGGATCCAGTGTCGTACAACTCTGCAGTCGCTCCAGTCACATGGATCTACGAGGCATGTTCCGACGGCGTTTGTTCCGACAGCTTGGAAGGCCGTAAACTTCTCACGCCAGTCGGCCTTCTTCACTTGTCTCCGTGTTGGAAGGAGAAATCCAAGTACCGGAGATCTGTCTACCGACGGGCTCCCAGTGCCAAGGAACACATCGAGTCCTTCAAATGTCGCAGAATCACATGGTCTCCGCCTCCCCAGCTCAAGACGTCCAGCCGAATTTGAGGCGGTTGGTTTCTATGGCGGTGTCTTTCACCAAGGCTCCAAAGTCTCAAGATTTTCAGGGGCCTTAATGAGCCCTCCTCGCTGATCTCAGGGTCCTCACTGCATGCAGGTTTGAGTGTGTGTTCATCCACTCTCTGCCAGGGGGTACCCGAAAAGAAATTGGTTGGGGTGGGTGATAGGACAGGTGCAACTCCTACCTTCTTTTCGGATGTAGGCCAGGAGCGGAATCAGTCGGAAGTGCCAAAAGAAGAACGAAACAAAAAAGGGCGGAAAGTAGAGGGAAAACCATCCATTCCTTTCGGGGCCATGCTCCACTTCCCATGTGTTTTTGGGAAGTGACAAGTCCCTAGCCCAAAACAAAAATCCCTATCGACTCCCTCCCCACCTCGGATCAGGTCGTCCTTCGGAAGTTCCAAGCGGAAGCTCATCCAGCTGGCCAGGGCCCTGGCGATCTTCCTGGGAAACGGCCCCTCGGCCGGGCCGGAGCTTCACACGGAGGGGCCGTCCTTTGGACGGGAGGCAGTGGCTCCCTGAAG